AGATGTGCATATATCCACACTGAGAAGATTAGCTGCTTATGTTAAGAGATGGAGATGTGCCGACCAGTGGCTGACTTATCCTCATTTCCCTCTTACACAGTGACTTAACTAACCAGCACAGCCAAAGAAAAGCAGCGGGGAGTGAAAAGGTGATGACTTAAATTAGGTCCCACTGTGCATGAAAAATCATCAAGACCTGAATGCTGCCTGCCACAAAAGCTTTCTGCCACGACAGATGTCTAACAAAGAGCGCCCTAGAGCTCTGGATTTGACAAGTCAGGATCATTTGTCACCAACAGAAGCCGGGGTTGACAGACAAAAGAAAACAAGCTGGCGTCATGTAAGTGAAGAGACAATAAAATGTCTAAGCACTTGTGTTTGCCAGTTTAAAAGAACTGCACTGAAAACTGAATTTTTAATCTTAGCTTGGTATAGCTTAGTTTGCTATATTTCGCAATAAAGCAAAGATTTAGCAAGATTGGATTAAAAAAAACAAAGAGCGAAAGGAGAATGGCGAAATAGAGGAAACACTGCATACATATATATTTTATGGGCATTGATGTTACTGACACCATTAAATGGATTCAAGGACCACGCCCTAATTATCCAGTTTGAGAAATATAGATCATAATGTTCCTGACTCAGCAAAATCACCTTTAAGTTTCTTCCTTCAGAGGCCTCCACACTGAGTCACCTCCTAGCATTCATCTCTCACCTCTACTTCTATACCACCCATTTCTATATCCTCTTTCCTTACATCCTTTCATCTTCTTTGGGGTCTTATTCTTTATTTCCTGCCTCCTGCCAATTTCCTTTGTCCATTACAACCACTGTCACGATTAGCACATGCCCAAAACAATCAAGACTTGCATTTATTTATCTCTGAACTGCTCAACCTCAGCTGAAGCTTAGCTCCTCAACCCATTCAATATTGTCAGAAAAATCAAAATAATATAATTTGTGAAATTAATTATGAAATAGCTGAAATCCACACGTGACACCAACACTTATTACACTGTGCTTTGAGCACGGAATACATCTGCAAAGCTTTGACTTTGAAGGCAACTATTTTGATCTTATTTCTAAAATCTCTGGCCAGTGTCTTTATTCTCCTTCACTCAAATGTGTGAACAACGTGTTGGACCAACTCTGTAATATCCCACAAAACAGCAATGAACAGTTAGGCATTCTCTGATAGGAAAGTTGTCAAAGAATGTTTGATGAACACTACACCTCTACCTGCTGTTATTTATTTTTCTGGTCCAACAATATACAGACCAAAAAATTCATATTTTGTCTTGTTTAGACCGTCAATTTATCATGATTAATCAGATGAGAACTTGACTTTACCTGGCACAGGCGAGTGCCACCAAAGCAGCAGCAGCATTTTCCCTCTGTCTGTGTGTGTGAAGGACCTGCATCTGCACTGGGTTGTTTTCCTGGGTTCCATCTTCCAACCAGGAGCAGAGCAGGGCCTCCAGACCGTTGAGGCAGTCGGCGGGCTCTTTGCTGAGGCTAAGCGGCTGGCAGTCGCGGAGGCAAGCCAGCAACACCTCTGCAGTGACACCGCAGAGTGCTGGGTCACTGCGAGTCTGGGACTGTAACAGTGGGAAGACCAGCAACAGGCCTACACGTGACGTGAATGGTGCCTGCTCTGGCTGCTGAAGGAGACCTTGTCTCTTGAGCAGAGCCAAGGTCTCCTCATCAGCACCCCCGGTGCCCTCACGTTCTTGCTGCTCCTCCAGGGCCAACTGCCGCTGCGCCCCCCACAGGCCACGCAGAGCATTAAGACGGTACTCCAAGAGGCGTGCATAAGCATTGCTTTGATTTCCACAGACAGCACGGAGACGTTCAGCAAGCTCCACTGGGTTTTTTGTCTCAAAGGTAAGAATCTAGGTAAAAGAACAGAAATTGAGAACAATTGATTGATGTGATTTTTATTATTTTCAACAATGGCTTAAAACTGTAAACACCTGTAGGAAACACAGTACTGTAATGAAAAGGACAATCTCGACAACTGAACATTAGGATATTTCTGGCCAAATTTATATTTTCTATAACAGTCAATAATTTTAACCCTTAGTTCATTCATTTTTAGTACAACCTTTTTTTTTTTTGCTAAATTATATTTAGCTAGACCATAGACACTTTTCTTGAAATTTATTTTTTCAGCGTTTTCTGCATTAATCTTACATTGGACAAGCTTCCAGAACTCATTGAAAGACAAAGTCTAAAAGACATACCAAGAACATTTGTTAATACACTGACATAACAAATGCATATACATCTAATCTTTAAATTTCACCTTAAGGTTATTTCGGGTTAATTTGTCTGAGGAAATGACAGACACAACCGGTTCACTTACCCATTAGTGTTGAAAGCAACAATTTACATTTGCAAAACAGACTAACACCAACAGGGGAATTTACGTAATGTGAAATAAACGAATCACATCTGAAGTAACACCAAAGATGGCTTTTTTAAATAACTAAGTCTAACAGAAAGTATCATCATCTACACTCGTGTGGAAATAATCAGTAATTGTGGAGAATATAGGGATAGCCTATCACAAGTAAAACAATGTGCTTCATGTGCACTTAGGCAGCATTTCAGGTATTGATTACACTCAACGTGGCTCACGAATCATGGGCTAAAGGAAAAAAAAATCCATTACACCATTTAGCAGGCACAAGTTGTATTGATTCCATCTCAGAAATCCAACTAAAGTTACAGTAACACTCCTTAACTAAATGCTGCTGGACCTTCTCTACCCTGCTCTGCAAACAATATTAGAAATGGACAAAAATAGGCAGCGTCACGACACCTACAGAAATACCGACCAGTGACCTAGTCAGTTTCCAACCAGAAAAGGCAAACGATAGGAAAAACATCTGAATCATCATCCTTCTGAGGTCGCCCCCAGCACATCATCAGGCTGAACTGACCTCTACCTCGCTCCAGCTCTTGCTTCCTCTACTGTTACACCAACCATCTTCATGTCCTTCTTCACTTCGTCTATGGACCTTCTATGGGGCCTCCTGTTTTCCTAGTGACCTCTTAATTTTCAACATGCTTTGTCCTATATCTACCACTATTTCGTCACTAAACTAAAACAAGTTAAACTTAAATTCAGCCTGGGATGTTTCCCTCATCTGATTCTAATTTATCGATCCACCTTGGTAACAGACAGTAACTTTGTCTACATGTGGATTGATTTTTCTTTTTATGAACAATATTTTCTGATTTAAAAATTACAATTGCACTGCACATCAACCACAGATTTTTTTATTATTATTATTTACAATAAAAAAACACAAACCATTGTGACAGTGCACTGTTGTGTACTGCCTTGGAACTAACCATGGAAGAAACAAATTGACTTCCTTGTTTTTTATAAATAAACTGCAGCAACTCTTTGAAATTTTATCTTCCACATCTTTCACCAATAAGAATGTTTCTCATATTTCGCTACAGAAATTATTTATATTTATTTGGGGCACATGATTCATATCACCATATTAATAACACCCATTATCATATCATATGAAGCACGCCCACTATATTTTAATTATCTGTACAACTACATGTGTTTGCATATATTCAATCAATTAAATTCAAAAAGTATATACAGTAGTGCATGTTTTTATACTAGACTAAACTCAAAATCTACAATACTGTAGGGTAAAATGATTAAGTCTAACTAACGGTAGAATATAGTAATGATTAGGCAGTACATGATGAATGGATGAAGCTGTATATTTATGTATATTTAATTAAAAGAAATATAAATGATAAATCCTGAAGAAGAAATGTACAGTTGCCTGGTCATTAAACAAAGACCTATTCTGAAGCTTTGAAATGTGAAGTCCAACCAAAGACCCTGTCCTTGCGATTAGAATGAACACGTAGACAAATGTCTGCAGACTATTTACTTGTTTTGAACCGACAACCTTTTGCTAGTAGCTAAGTCCTCTGGAATGATTCACTGCTGTCTGTTCTTTAAAAATTAAATTGTTATGCGGACTACTTTAAAATGTTCATATTTGAAATGTGAGACCATTTATAACCCTCTACATTGTAGCTCTTTAGCAGGAGTCTATCGCAGTTATTTTGCATTACCATTGCTTTATATAGACACATTGATTGTAGTAACGGTTTCACGGAGGTTCATCTTAAGTAAACCTGTCAAAAATATAAATCGGCTGTATATATATATATGACTTGTCCCCATTACAAGGAATCATTCCTGCAGAAGAAACATTTATATCAGGACCTAACTTGTAGCTGTTGGACATTACCCAGTCTGATTAGATAATCGGTTAAAGAAATAAAGACTAAACATACACAAAATGGTCACTGTTATCAACTTAGCATAGCATTATGCGATTTTTTAAATACAATGTACAGGCTTGTGGGATGTGTGTACGTGTGTTTGTTTGAGAAAACATGGATGGATGACAGGAATTATTTTCACCCACCTCCTGCTCGGCGTCCCCATGCTCCGACGCTCCAATCTCGCTGGGCAGTTCGGCCAGATCCGTCACCCGAATGAGTCCGTCGTGGAGGAAAATCGTCTCCTCCTTGACCGAGAGCCACTGGGACGAATCCACAGCCCCGGAGCCCATCGCTCTCTCCTCCGCCAACCGTGACGATGTCAAAGGGGTCGAACATTAAAAATTCAGTTTACAGTAGTGACAAAAAACGCCCCAGAAGCTTGCGTGCTAACAACAGCTACAAAAGCAACCCCATTAACAACATAACACGGTCGTTCAACCGCAGCTGTCTTATCAGTCAATGGAGTGTGTAAGATTAAGCCAGCTGAGAAGGGAGCCGGGGCGGTGCAGCAGGCGGCGACTCCTCCTTGATGCTCGTGTCCAGCTAGCAGCAAAGGCTAATGCTAAACATTCGCCTATCTGTTAGCTTTGATAGAAGACGGCTAAAAGCTAACACTTATTACAGAGTGGGCGTGACAGCAGCACTTTAACCCGATTTTTTTTTAATGGACTAGACAGGGCTTTTAACGATTGTCAGAAGAAAAACCGAGTTCGCAGCTCCTCACAGCCGGTGACGGAAACACGGAGTCAGCAACAATGTCGTCCCAGGCTTCTTCTGCTGCTGCTGCTGCTTCTGCTGGGGAAAATAATGACAGTGTCCCAGCTGTCAGTGCAACGCCAGGTTTCCAGGGCCGACCAGCCGCTTCCCAAAATGCACCGCGGCCCGGAATTATAACTGTTCTGTTATTTTATACCCCCACCCCACACACACACATATCAGACATATATCCGAAGCAGAGATTTATTGATGAGAATATATTTTCTAAAGTTACTTATTAATATATAACAGTTGAGGTCAGATCTGTCTTATAGAAATATCAAAACACCATATTTATAAGTGTGTTTCTTGATTGCTTCACTTTGCACTGCTGTTTTACATCAACAGAGAGTAAACCGAAAGAAATGCATTGAATTGAAAGCTTATAAATGTTACGTGTACTGTGTTAAGCAGCTATGTTTGTTACCATGTAAGCTGTTCCACATTATCAATTCCTCTCTCCAGTCTTAAACAGCGTTTATAGAGGCGAACGGGAATCCCTCTTTTTTGGTCGCTGCCTGGAAGTTTACTCCAAGCAGTGCCTTTTGTCTTCATCTTCTTAAGCCTTCGAATTAGGTCGTAAGCTTTGATAAATCTTGAACAGCTGGAAAAGAAAGATGTCGGTTACAAAAGAAGCCAACATAATGATTAAGATGACCTAATATATTACTGTTATAAATTCCCATTGAGTAAATTAAGTATTATTAATTACGTGTTAATGGTTAGATATAATCTTAGTTAATTTATTGATTTTAAGTCAGGCATTTTCTTTAGTTTCATTGAGAGGGGTCATGGTTGAGTCAGGTCCTAGCAAAATAGTTTTGCCACCCTCAGTCTCTTCAATAATTACATTCAGACATTTAAAAATAACTAGTTCCTCAGTTACCTCCAACAGGATGATTTGATGTGCTCAGTGCTTTGAAGCACAGGGCAAAGATACTTTCTGAAATATCTAAAGTTGCCCAAAAATGTCATAAAATTACCAGGTTTTAAATATAGCAGGGGTTTTGTTAAAACTGAACCATGAGCTTCAGACTGATCTTACAGAGACTAAGCCCCACTGCCTTTGGCAAATGGTCAGTGTTCCTGAAATTAAAATAAAAAAATAAAAAACAGCACCTTGTCTGATCTTAAAAATAAGGAACTATTCAATAAGCTCTGCTTACTGTCTTTCTAGTGTGAGGGATTTATTTGGTAGAACATAGTATCAGTTATATCAGTATATTGTTTTACTCTTTAAAGGAAAATAAAAGGCATCAAATCACAATGTCTACTTTGTATATCGTGGTAAAAGACAATGATATTTGTAAAATTATTTATGCTACAATTATATTTTATAATATCAGTCTTCAAACATCCATTATATATCCACCTAATGCCTATTAGACTGCAATACAGTAATACAGTAACAAATATGACTGTAACATTTCAAACCTTTTTCTGTCTTGACATTTATTTTCTTTAGGCAGTTTAAAGCACTGCTCTGAGACAAAATCCGTCAGCAGAGAGGGAAGAACACGGAGTCGCCTGAAGTTTCTGATGTGAACAGAAAGGCTGTAAAAAAGAAGCAGGTTTCAAAATAACTAGTTTGCATATTTGTGTGCATATTTTGTTCACAGAATTTGAAAACGGTAATGAAAATCTCTCTAATGACAAAAAAAGCAGCTGCAGTCCCCTCAGTGAGTCATGTCTGACCACTGGGAAACTATCACATTGACCGATCAGCTTAACATTGGTTCCACAGATAACTGATAGAATGTATTAATGTACCTAAATGTATACATATTCTGTACAATGTTCTTGATAATATAATTTAAACTTAGATTCATACATTTTTAACTGTGAAATAACAGCTAGAACAAAATGTAATAACGACTCAACAGAACACATAATCAAACAAACAAAACAAAAAAATCAATTTACCGTGTGGTACAGTTGCAGTGGTAGACTGTCTTGGACTCCTTGTTCCACAAACCATACTTTTTCTCTAAAGGGGTAATTTGGTGTCTACATTCATCCAGATGTTTCAGACTCTTGCACAGCAGCTCATGATCTGTTACCAAGAGCAAGTGGAGTTGCTGAATGTAGAGAAAACTACATTATTGTATTCACATGTCATAAAAACAATTACCCGTCAATACTGAATTTACCTACAGAAGCCTAAAAAATAACATTGTTACTATTACCCCAGATCATCCAAAATAAATAAAATATTCTCTGTTGTCTGCAGGGGGCGTGGTAGAGCTGCCTGCATTTAGACTCTGGACAGTGGAATTTTATCACAAGCTTTCTATAGCGGTCATTTTAATGAATCTTAAAGAAGCTATTAATGACTATTACTCTATCAATTATACACAGTCATGAACAATCGCAACGCCTTTTTTTAATAAAAGTTCCTAAGTATAAGAGTGTTTGGCATTGCTATGTATAGAATTGTAAGCATGTAAAGTATGGAGGAAGTTCAACATCTTTTTTTCAGAAACTATGATCTTTGTGCAAGTCAAAACATTTTTTTTAAAAATCACACTTCAAAAATTCAGTTCTCACCGATTTCACTCACACTCACCTGACACTGTGTGATTTTCTTTGAAGATGTCTTGTGCAATTGTATTGTTTTCTGAGGTTCTGCTCCTTGACCTCTGGTTCAGGTGTGTTTTGAACAGAAAGGAATCTGTTCTGTTTTGTAGCTTTCTGTCACCATGACGATTGTCTGTGACCTTTGGTTTGGTCGTGGCCGGTGCAGTAAATGTATTTGTTTCCCCAGACGTTGTGACAGGACCTGGTGTTGTTGATGTTTGAGGTGCCTCAGTCATTGTCGTAGCAGCAGTAACGACTGTGGTTTCTGCATTAGAACAGTTTTTGCAAAATGGCCAAAAAGTGTTGCCTCTCAACGATTCGCAGCAGTGGCTCTTCTTTAGCTCAGCAATGTGTTTTTTTATTGTTTGTGGCACAAAAGCATTGACAAGTGGTCGTTGTTGATACGTTGTTTGTCTTCCAGTTGAGGACGGAACATTCTGCGTTGTTGGGGAAGCTTGTGGATAAGAGTCCTCGGACAACCTTCCACTGCTCTTCTTCACTCCAACATTTTTACTACCTGTCACCAGGTCACTTCTCAAAGAAGTACTTGAACGACCTGTCGTTGCCGAGGATGCTGTGATATTTACCGTTGCTGACATCATCTTGTTTATTTTACAACGCTTCCCTTTCTTACGTTGATAGAAAGTGTCTCCTCTGGGCGGATCTCTGGATCTACATCTGCTTTGGATTTTAGGAGATTTTTGCTGCATATTAATTCCAGTAATCTTAGTTGTTTGTTTTTCTTCATGTTTGGTTTCCTTGCTGTTGTTGCTGTTATTACTATTAGCTTCATTGGTTGAAACATGAGAGGAGTTGTACAGGTGGGATGTTTTTAAGACAGCATATGGAGCTTTTCTGGTGACTTTGCACCTGCAAAGAAAATGCAGTGCAATGCTCATGTGATTTGATCATACACCGATCAGTCACTTTTATTGTTTGTTTTCTTTTATTAAAAAACATTGTTGAACTGACTGAGAAAAATACATTTGATCAAGACATCTGTGGTCAGGAATCTTCAGGCCTAAATGTTAAGCTGATGCTGGCTGAAGGTGGTCTTGATAAGCAAGCATTATCTTAAAATGCCTGATATTATGTTTCCTTAACATTTCCAACATATTTAAATGATCACATTATATGTTGTATTTCAGTATTTTCAGCTCATAGTGATTGTAAATTCTCTGTAAAGATGAGTAAGACCTTTTTTAAGGCACTACTATTCTTATGTTGAAGGAGTTGAACAGATTGGTACCATTATCTATGATCAGACGTGCTTCTACAAGCTGCACAGGTATAACTGCTCCCCTGGGTCCACGTGTGCCCATACCTGCACTTTTCATCAAGTGCACCTCTGTAAACATGTAATTGTCTAACAGCATGCTTTACTTACATCCCCCACCAGTACATCTTAGTGCATTGTTGCTGCTCCTTGAGCTCAAAGCAAGGAACTCGAAGGATGTTGAAGAAGCTGTAGCCCACCATGGTAGAAATGGTATCATTAACTCCGAGGAGACACTTTCGGAAGCTGGTGAGAGAAAAAAGGAAGAGCAGGATAAGATCATCATTTATTTTACTATCATAAAATAGTTGCTCTAGGTTTAAAAAATTGAGCAACCCTGAGAAAAACATCATAGAAGATTAGTTAAATATAATTTAAATTAAATTAATTTAAATAAAAGAGGATTTGCTGGAAATATTTATAATCTTATCTAGACAGCTAAGTTAATAACATAATTTATACCCAAAATACATGTTAACAATATTTTTGGTGTGTCACAGTAGCTGAAAGCAAAGTTTACCCAGACATACTGTGACTAAAACATTTATGAACTTGTTGGCAGGAAAAGTAAAACTCAAGTAGCTACCAAAAGTAATTTTTCTGGTCTGGTTGTGTTTCTTTGGAGTATTAATAAAGTCTGTGCTTCACTGTCCTCCAGCGATTTTATTTATAAAGTTGAAAAACCACAAGTTTCTTTTCATGTGGTTTGGCCGTGGATTCTGGAACATCAGGTGTTGTCTAATGACTGTGGAATTTGTGTGGAATGTGAAGCTTAACGCATATTTTGGATGATTTACAACTGTACACAATCAACTTCATTTTACAGCCTTCTGTCAGAATGGAAACAGGTCAATTGATACTAACCTCTTTCGTAAAGGTACCAAAACTTTAAAAAATGTCCCTCCAGTGTCCCTACAACTGTAATGGACTTTTCTTTTTCTTAACCTCGTGGTCCATTTTTGTGCAAGACTCTGGTGTCTGTATTTTCTTGTCACATCTTAGTTCCAGACCAAACCAGCAATGTTAAATATTGTTTTTATGATACTTTTTCTTTTAGTTGGTGTGAATTTATATTTATTCATTCACTAGGATGTGTGAAAAGGGTAATGGAGGAGGAATGGTATTCTCTGCAGCGTTCAAAAGAACAGCAGCATGTTGAGTCTTGATATCAAACCTTTATTTAAAAGTGCACTGATGGATTTACGGCTGCTGCCTGAATGCTGATATAGTGTGACATAGCTGCAGGGTGTGCATTTTCACTACAAAGTGGCAAATAAGGTAACTATAGACTAACAAACCAAGCGCCACAATCATCTATAACCATCTATAAGCCTCACTCGTAAAGATCGACCCATCTCTAATTGTCCTGACCGCCCCCTTATTGAAGAACTTTATTCTTTTTCCTCAAAGCTGCAATTTTTGAAAACCTAAAACAAATTTTGAAAAAAAAAATCTCACACTGCTATTTATTTCTGCAGCAAATAAGAAATTCAATATATGTTCTAACAAGCCAGACCAAAAAATGTCTGTTAAACTAATCAAAGATATCCTAGTAATTAGCATGAAAATAGGACAAAAAAGGAGCCTAGAAATGCTCCAGGTAGGTAAAGGGTTTAGGGAAAATAGGGGAATGTAACTGAACCTAGAACTTTGGCTAAAGGTTAGTCGAAAAATGAACACAACTAAGATCACCTAGAAATAACTTACTTTATTTAAATTTTTTTTTTTTTTTTTAAAAGTCCAACCTATTATTCAAACACTATTTGATATAAAAGTAAGCATTTTTAAAGTGGGTAGATAAAGGTACTAATAATAAGAAGAAATTATGTTTCTATTGTACAGTATATTACATAGATATATGGAATGTATTGTTTGAAAAGTTTGCAAAATAGTTGGAGCTTTGTTTATGATATAATCAGTTTAAAAAATACAAATTTCTGGCACTTTTCACTTCTTTTTACTGATACAGTTCAAGCGCAGGAGAATAGTATTAGGGTATGGGCAGTCGTATTAGTTGAGTAGTATTAGTATTATCTTGCAGTGTGTGATGGGACTCACCTTTGGTCACAGTCACAGTGGGACAGTGTGTAGAGGTTGGGGTTAAAAACACCATAATTCACAGTGAATGAAGGGATGGTGTGTTCACAGTGATCATGTTCACGGCAGCAGCTGTCTGCATTTTCGAACATTCCTGTGTATAAGAGCAAGGCAGGGATTCGTAAATCTATCACAACAACAAAAAAGGTCTATAAAACTGAACAGCAATGTAAAAAAAAATTATAAATACTTTACTTGAAAAAAGTTTGGGAATATATATTTAGCTGTGGACATGTTCGCTTGGGGAACCTCATTTATATTAAAGGAGGAAGCCGGCCAAAAGCAGTTCACATGTCAATCACAGCAGACTGGCCAGTTCATGTTCCCCTCCAATCTTTTCATCTTTAATAAAATTAATGATGTATGGTCCTGCACCAGGAGTGTTTGAATTAAAGGAGGTTTTTTTTAACCAATGTTCTGTGTTAAACAGTTCATGGTTCGATTAAGTTGTAGCTAAAATAAAACCTTGAAATGTCTGAAAGTTAGCCATGTAAAATTACACTGTATATTAGCATACACGCTTTTGCTCCGAAAAGGGCATTTGTCCTAGGCTATCACGTGCAATTTACATTTGTATTTATTTATTTATTTATTTATTTGCTTTGGATGAACTAATTGTAAGTTATGCACTATAAGGGTGTATTCACGTCAAAATAAACGAAACCACTATTTTTTTTATTGGGGGGTGGGGGGTAACCGACATTTTCTCCGATGAACATCCCAAAACCCAAAAGTTAATGTCATGACGTCAACATTACAATAAAATCATTACCTAGTTCGTCATAGGTGGCTGCTTTAGTGTTCATCCCGCACCACAGTGTTCCTGGGAAAATCCATCCACGTTTCCTCCTGATCTTCACCACCGCCTCCTCTCGTGCCCTGCTCCTCATCTTCTTCTGTGGTGCACAGTTTGTGTCCACCTCATTCATCACGCTGACGTTGACAAACCTGGTCAGGCTGAGGTCTTCCAGGCTGCTGTCACACACTGCGGTCTGGTAGTGCTCCACATCCCCAGGATTTTTACTAATCCTGCAGCTCAGCATGCGCATCGTAGCAGCGTCACTCAACCACACAGTCCGAAAGAGTGAACGCGCACCGGCCGCGTCCTCTCGAAGGAAGGTGACGCGCTGGTGTCCGCGGTCAGTTGTACTCGACCTGAGACAGGAGATAACCGAGGAGTTGACCTGCTGCAGGAGAGAGGAGAAGAAGACGATAAGGAGGTGCTGAGGGAGCCTTGTGTGCATCTCAGGGAGTTACAAGGCCTAGAAAGAGAAGATGAAGTGTCGTGTTAAGCTATAAGGAGAAGGAGGTGCTGGGTGACTCCTCTCTGCATTACACTGTGTGATCAGACACGGGAAGGTAAAGGACGACACGCTGGTAGAGTGTTGAAATTAAGGTGAGAGGAGAAGGAGGTGGAAAAGAAGGAGGAGGAGTTGTTCCACATCTTCATCTACAGCACAAGTGACTGTGAAACACACTGAAGAAGGTGGTCTACACTTCTTACGTCATCAACATTGGCGCCAACTCCATAATTAAACCTCACACGACTAACAATTTTGACAGCCATCCTCCCAAGTAATAAATGTGTGCTGGTCTGCTTCATGACATTATTCATTTGTAATCCTGTCCACAGGGTGTGCTAAAGAATAAACTATAGCTCAGAACCGTTTCTTTCCCCCCGTGATTTTTTGTTAAACATTTGAAAATATAAACTCTCGACGACGAACATAATAACGACACTAGTACAGTATAAAAGTGCAAAAACCAACCGTCGCGATGACATTTTTACAGGCATTTTTGATAAAATGACAAACAAAAAATTAAAATAAAACACGTTGTAATTTAGAATAATTACAACATACTGGAAATGTTCATTAATGCTATTTAAACAATAGGGGGGTTAGTTTTTTATTTTTGTGCTTCATTCATTTACTATTTTCAAGAAAGTAAAAGATATGGCCATTTGGGCTGTAAATTATTATGATCTTCATTTCACTTTACTTTGTTTTTATGTGCAGAAACTCCCACAGACGACACGTTTGTTGACTGCCTATGTGGCCACGAGCAGGACATTCACAGACACATAATTGACAGTTTTCAAGAGATTTTATTGAACTGTGTAAACTCTGCAAAATCTTTACATGCAAATGTATCTGCAAACATACAGAATCAAACACATGCGCCATTTATTTACAAATACGGAGAAAAAAAACAGTTTAGCTGCACTGTAACCAAGACAGAAGGCTCTGGAAAAAAGAAAAAACATGATCATGAAATGATCAACAAGGGTTCCTTTGTGTGTCAATTTTTGTTCAAACTGTAATGTAAACATTTTACAAACTAATACTAATTTATGCTGTTTATTTGGAGAAGTAAATAAATTAACATCATGTTTTAAACTGTTTCCAAACAATCAAATGTTTGGGAATATATTTTACTCATAAAAACTTTATTATCAGTTATTTTTGCTCTATATTTTAAGACACTTTTAATATAATCAAGGAAACTTTAAATTACAAAGCAAAACATTTTAGCAATTGAAAACTGTCTAAATATCTAGAGAAGTGTTTAAACATTTAACAGTGTCTTCAGTGTAAATGACAGTCATCAGTTAACAATGTGAGAGAAAAAAAGACAAGAGAAGGACGGTTGCATTCTCTGAGTGCATTCACTACTTTTACATTATAAAGAGAGCTTCCTACTGTATGTGTGCATGTGTGTGTGTGTGTGTGTGTGCATGAGAGGCTACTCCTGGTAGTCACAGAAGGCAGAGCAGATGTACAGAGGAAACAAGACACTGGAGCATAAGCACAGTATAATCAAAGACAGTAATCAAATAGTCTGTTTTTATCGTCGTACTTAAATGATGTTTCATATTAAAGCGAAATATGTCGGTCCAAATCATTCAGATTACACCCACAGTCGTCGCAGTCATGCAGCATGTGTGTAAGTGTGTATCAATAGGAATGTCATGGAATAGAAGTGTAAACAAATTAAAATTATCACTTTTTTTTACAAGGATATATTTATATATGTATGTATATTTATATCTTGAAGCACAAGACACTTCATGCATAGATATTTTTTTGTCAGTTTTAATCTTGTGACATTGAGTTAAGTTACAAATAGAAGTCGAAAGTGATTGCAGGCCATTCCACTTTTGTCAGGTGTGCTTTCCTTGGTTTGCTGCGATTAGGGACAAACTTGAGTGTGAACAACAATACAGAAGAAGAATAACAATCAGATTTGAAAAACAATTTTTGTTTTAATTAACATGGCCAAGTCTGGCGCTGAGCATTGCTCCTCAATCTGCGGGAGATAGAATCTTTAACCAGTAAATCTTGTTCAACGTAAGTTTCTGACTGCAAACAATATCATCCTTATTGATCAATCATGATCAGGTTGACCACTATTTCTTTTAATCCTCCATCTCTGGAACTAACATCCACTAAAAACCTGCAGTGAGGGGGGAGGAAGGGAAGGGGGTGACTGAGGAGCAGACACTCCCTGCTTTGTGCAAACAGTGTTAATGTAAGTGAGAGTGGATAATAACCGATCCCAGGCACAGCAGAGTCAAAAACACAGTGCATGCAATGTGAAGTCAACATAATTGTGACATAATTGCCCCATAGCACGTGTTCAATATACATTTCTTAATTTCCTAACCCTTAACTTAAATGTTATTAACAGACACAAACCATAAATTCTATTAATAACAGTTTGGGTTTTTGAAGTGAGACACTGACACATGAACAACACTGTCCATGATGGTTTAATCAGTGAACCATCACAGGTCGCTCCAGGATTCATTAGCTCTTTGTAAACTAGACTTCTTCAAAGTCATATTACAGGTGCACTCTTATCAAAAACCTGAACCATCCCTTTAACTACATGTGCTATCAGATTGAGTCAGAAATTAACAACAGCCAATCTCTAAGTTTCATGGCCCACTAAAATATGCGTCACCTGTAGACTAAATGTTTATCCTTACCTGAGCATGTTCATATGTAAACATTTCTGCATGGAAATATACATCACACATAAAGGAGGGAATAAAGACATGTTTAAGGTGCAGCTGTGTGTGCATGTGTGTGTGTTTCTAAAGTCTGAGGCTCTTTGTGCTCAAATTACGTTATCATCTGATTATGCTAACATTCAGTTTTCTTTCCACAGTCGAGCTAATATTTGCCTCCTGTCCAGTCCATGCATTGATATGACAAACGTCTTTAACATTACAACATTTTCCTGTTCATGTTTTGTGCGAGTCAACTTTCAATCCATTTGTGGAGAATGTGTGGAGTTTGTTGCTTCAAATTACAGTATGGTTTTTATCAGTTGTTTTGTAATCATTGGATATAATTGCACATCAAAAACTCCACCTTGGCGAGTCACTAATTGATCATAATTTCTGAATTCAACATGGAGAAAAAAACAACAACAACTATAGCCCGTCCAATGTTTTTAAACACATAGCAGATTGAATTTAAAAATGACTGTGGCCAAAGACATACTGTATGTAATTTATAAACCTACAAGATTATAAATGAAACTAATGAATCAAGCCAAAATTACTTACTTAACTAAACTCAAGCCGATGCCGATGTCAAAAAGCAAAAAAGCGCCTAGAGTTTTGTTGCATCCTAATAAGAGCCAATACAGTTCTGTGCTTCTAGTTATTCTCCTTGATGGCTGACACTAACAATGCGTACATGTCTAGTTATTAACTCTATAAATAAGATAAATGTCAGCTTACAGCAACCCACTTTTAGAAGTTCCCAAAGAGGAACATTAGTGGTAAACAGTGAAATGACACCAAGCCTTACTGGAGCAAAGACAGAGGGAGAAGTGTTGATAAAAAGTTTGGAGGCATGAGCAGCTGCAGTTTGACCCCCAGGCACAGAACCTGTACATGAACACCAACAAGTAAGGAAAAAAAGAGGATAGGAAGGAGGAAAGGAATAAGAATTGCTCTAGAAGACAAACTAATACTAAGACGTGAGGACAAGTTTTAAGCTCATGCTGTATTGGGCGTGGCCTAATCGTAGCTAATCACTGGCATCGTGGTTCTCGTTCAACAGAGTGTGCCAACGCTCAATCTTCTTGTCCTTGTTCTTCAAACACTCGTACCAGTGTTTCAGCTGCTCTCCTTTGGCAGTGATTCCCAGCTGACAGCCGCCTGTAGAACAACCACAGAAGAAGAAAGAACAAACAGCTGAGTGGACGTGTTTTCATGTGAAGCAGAGCAGTGACTCAGACGATGCTGTGATTACCAATGTAGTCATTGGATTTCCCGATGTCATAATCCCAAACTGTGATGTCCAAAGTCTTCTTTGCCAGTTCACTGTGTTTGATGTCATAGGCAAATTCCTGGAATTAAAGGATAATTTCTTTTTTTAAAAGGTTAAAATAGAATAAAGGCTATTCTATTCTATTTTAAACTTTAACCTTTTTTAAACAAACTATACAGCAGTACTTCTCAAATAATTAGGTGGTCCATGGAGGGGTTGGGGCTCTGCTGTACTTCTTGAATGATAAACAAGCCTCCAGTCGCTAGGTGGCAGCACATACAGTGCTTTGTAGAGATAAGAAAATACATATTGTCAGGTTCTCAATAGTATTTCACTTTGGGGCAGGGGCTGGAAACATCTCTGTCCCCTAGGGGGGGCATGACAGAAAATAATTGTTCTTCCAAAATATATATATATACTGTATATATATATATATATGTGAAAGATTTGGGTTTCTGTACATAATAGAAACAACAACGTGAACAGTGTAACCTGACATGCTGTAGCCAGTAGACTGCGGTTTTTATTTTTTTATTTTTGTCTTTAATCTAAACAATGGAAATGATGCTGGCTTTGAAAACAGTCAAAACTAAAAAATTACATTATTTACACTGAATGGTGTATTTTTGTATGTAGCATCAGATAGGTTCATCTGACTGTAGTCCTACAAACCTCGTTGTACTCTGGATTTAAAGTCCTCTTCTTGATTTGAGTTTTGCACTTGCCCTTTTTACCCATGTCAGGTTTCAGACATCTGGAGATTACAACAAACAGGCAGAGTTTGACTGAGAGTGCTTGAATAAAAGCTGAATGCCCTCTCTTTTAGCGCTTCACCTACATTTTCACATAGGGATCAGAGTAGCCGTTAGCATCCATGGCAGCCAAATGAACGCAGCGAACCACCCCAACGATCAAGCGGTTCTGCGGGGTGCTGTACATGAGCGAGATCAGGATCCGACCTCGTTCTTCTACGTCTCCACTATCTTTCCCCGTCTGAGACACAGTAGAGGACAATTGTCAAGCTCATTAGGACAACACAAACATGTCTAATAGGGCTGCAACCATACACAAAAGTCACAGTTCAGTTCGGTTTGGTACTTAAGTGTCACGGTTCCATAGAGAACCCAATGTAACCTGCTGTTCCACGATAGCATTGCTTGTATCAGTGTGCATTGCTCAATAATTACAAGTCATCAAATCAAACATTTGACTTGGATCAATTCTTGGTATTTTTATAACATGAACAAGAATTTGCCATATTCAGACAAGCCCAGACAAAAGGGTGAAATCACCTCATCTTCGTAGAGGGAGATGCCTCTGGCTGCTCCCACTGTCGCTGTTCTCTTTGTCTGAGAAGAATTAGCAGAGATTAGAGAAGCCGAATAAGATTCAGGAGATCCAGATGAGGACCTACAAACAAACTCCGACTCACAGGTATGACTCTCTCCAGACAAACGTTAAAATTCTTCTTTTGGTTCATCTTCAGTTTCTTCAGTGCCACTCGTGTTTCGCCGATGAACTCATTGTGCCCAAACTTGTCTTCATCACAGACGGAGAGTCTGAAGCACAGATTTTTTTAAAAAAGAAACAAATCCTTGATCATACTGAAACACTGTGAACACCTTCACACAGGTCAGAAGAGGACAGTTCAGGTGCTAAACATGAAAACCACGGCAGATCAGAGAGCGTCAGTAAAGTTCCTACCTGAGGGTTTTACGCTGCATGTCCTCGTCTGTAAGACCGTGGTAAGTCAGGGTCTCATTCCATGCGGGGTTACGAGTGTTTCTCAGGGTCTTTGTGCGAAGTTTGTTGGCCTGTTTGTTGAAAATCAGATCAAGACAAATGCATGAAGATGGTTTAGGGTACCAGTGGACATTATTTAAATGTTTTTCCTAACAGAAATTAAACTTAAATTAAACATCTGCACTTCGGTTTCTGTACATACACAGAAGACAAGTGTCAACACTGATACAAATCAGACTGGATGGAGGTTTACAATGGACTAGCTGCAGCTGTTTCTAACAACAAAACCATAATCTGTAGTAGTACACGTATCAAACTCAAGGCCTGGGGGCCAAATGCAGCCCACAAAATTCTTTTAAAGGACCCGCAGGAGCTTAAAAAAACATTTAATAGGGCAGTGGTGGTTTAGTGGTTAAGGAAGCGGACTTGTGTCCGGAAAGTTGCAGGTTCGAATCCACCAGCTGCCAAGTTACCACTGAGGTGCTCTGGGCATGACACCGTCCCCACACACTGCTCCCCTTAACTGTAACCCACTGTTCACTTTGGGGATAAACTTTGGGTAAAAACAGAGGTCACATTTGGTTGTGTTCAGTGGTGTGCTGTGTCACAGTGACAAGGAGTTCACTTTCCTTCCTTTCCTTAATAAAGTTGATAACTTATGTTTTCATTATACAGCAATGACCAATATTTTTAACCTGACTAAATAATAACCAATTGCAAAAACATTTATTAATACGTTATGGAGTAGTTACATCTATACATCTATTTGACGTGGCGTAGTATAAACAAGTGCATGGTAACTAAACCAAAGGATTTTATATTTAGTATAAATTACTTTTTTTAAAATACATTTGTTTTAAATCAATATAAAATGAATGAAAATATTGAAGCTATTGAGTCATCAAAATAACAGAGTCAGAGATCACATCCAGCTTTAACTTCAACTACCATTAAAAGTAGTGTTCATTTTAACCACAAGGTGTCAGGTTTGAGTTTTCACAAAGCTGATCACCAGCCTCCCTGCTCTGCTCAGCCTGATGGGGTTTTAAATCTTTAATAAGAGGTAAAAGCTTTATGATGGAGTTAAGGTGTGTCACATGATGTACCTTACTGGCCCCAGGCAGCAGATGGAGCTTCACATAAGGATCTGCAAGTCCATTAGAGTCCATGGGCTTCAGACCCTGAGGAGAAACCAGTACAACGTTACATCACAGCGTAAGGACGACAGACAGTTGATCTGAAGATCAAGGCTGTTAGTTTTTACCACTACCCATACACTTTACTACATACTACAATAGCTTTACTATCAGGATTCTAGAGTGGACACCACAGTACCTTTCCTCTTAGAATACTACAGTGAAGACTGTTGCTTTCCTGTTCATATAGCAGACTGAACTCCAGAGAACCCAGAGTGGCTGAAAGAAACACAGAACAGACATTTTTTTTGTATGGATTTAAAAGGATTGAATTGACGGAACCAAAGAGGAATAAGAGGCTGGTCATTCATTTGACCTCAGACCACTGGGACCACGACCTTTGTTTTGATGGGTCAGCGATGCTGTGTCCATGTTGGTCAGCATGAATCCTGGACTATATAACAGGTCAACAGAGAATTTGTGGACTACCATATAAACATATAGGACTAGAGTTTAATTCATTTGTTTTGGGCTAGATTTTACCTATGTATTACATACATTTAACTTAGCTAATTATGAGCATGATATGAATTTTAAAAATGTGTTAAAAATTTTACTACATCTTCAATCATTTCTAAACGCCATTGATTGTATAACATATGCCATTTAATTTTGCTATGTTTGGGTTTGCTACAAGCCATTGTTTTTTTTGCTAGTGGTTTTCTGACTTGTGATGCATTAAAAGCATCATAGCTAATCAAAAATGAAGTGGCTTTAATTGCAATGTTTCTTTTGATAAAAGTATTTGTTATGTGTTAAAATGCAGCAGATTTTTTAAAAAATGAACACTGTTGATTTCTATTTTTTGTTTTTTAATAAACACTCCATCTAGTACAATGTACTGGAAATGATTTAAAATGTGTTTTTAATGCCGATCAGAACACATGCTATAAATAAACTCCATCTATAAACATGTCATGTGTGAAGATAAGAACAGTGAGCAGATGGTGATTCACTCACTGGCTTCATCAGAGTCATAATCGTTGGCCTCCTCATCCTCCTCAGCTGAGGGAGGCTGCTGCCGAACAGGAACAGTGTTTCCGTGGGAAGCAGGTTGCCTCCTCTCCTCTCTCGCAGCAGGAGGTGCTCTCTGCTCCACAGAGGCTGCTGCAGAGGAGAATGAGCCTCCATCCCCTGCCATTGAACCTGAGAAATACAGAGACAGAAATACATATCCACTGAGCAACAGGGACTCTGGGCTCCCTCTCTTACAGTATTGTGACCATTTCTGTTCACTGTCTATGTGTTCATTTCTAAAGATTTTTCATGCTACTAAACCTCAGGTCTAAATGCATGAGAGTGTATTACAGAATGATTTAAGTTGTGTTGGCATCTCCACCTCCAATGGCAGCAATGAAAACTTAATATGTGTCTGACCTTTAAGACACAGGAAAGGATTTACATCTTGGCATCAGCTCACCCTGCTGGCCCACGGAGGCTGCTGCGGGCGGTCTAGAGCTCTGAACAGGAATCATCTTCTTCGTCACCAACGGACTCTCCTGCTCTGCCTCCTGAGGACCAGCCCCACCAGTGGCCATTGGGATGGCAGATGGTTTAGGGGCCACAGGTGGGTAACCAGAACGGCTCTGTGGCTTAGGAGCTGAAGAAAGACATAACATAATAAACATACAACACATATCAAGTTAATACAAAGTCAGGCAAGTACTTTTGTGATCTGATAACTATATCTGTAACTTAAGTATTTAGTCAGTAGCTTTAACAGCTTGATTGTATACATAGCTTCAATCTTCGCCTCTTTGCCCAACAATAAGATAATCAGGCAGATTTCTGGCATTTTCACATAAGCAACAAGCACAGAGGTAAAATGGACACGTTCAAATACACAGCAAAGCTGCAGTTCACAACTTCACTGCACTGACTTAATACCCAAAATACACTAAACCAGTGTTTCTCAAACTGTTTATACTCTACCACCTAAGAAAACATTGATCTCTCTGAGTACCACCATAATGACCAACATTAGAATTCCCCTGCTCGTTCCACGTTCAACTTGCGACTGATCCTATGATTCTCTGCTGCCTATGCTTATACGTGAGCAACAGACTTGCATTGCAGAAAAAAAGACAAGTAAATACCAGACGTCCTATTTCATAATCTCACAAGTAGCTACACAAATGTTGTATTAATTGTGCATGGTATGTTTCAGATTTATTTAGTTGAAAATCTGAATGTGAAAATGTGAATTTTCCCCACATACCACTACAGAGCTCCAGTGGTAAGCGTACCACAGTTTGAGAACCACTGCACTAAACTTACACAATTGCACTCTCTGGTTAAAAACTTAATTTAAATACAGGTTGATGGAAATTTAGACAGCAAACACCAAAATATCTCAATTAGATTTATAATGTTTCCGAAACAGACTTCAGAATGTGTGCGAACCAAATTTAATACAACGTAGGTGGTTCAAACCCTGGTTTTACCCTGGCTGGAATTAAAGGCCTACTTGTTTAGGGTGAGTCGCTGCACCTCTTCTTAGAGAATATTATATATAAAACATTATATTAAAAACTGTTACACTGTAATGAATGTCATACAGCATAACAGTAGTCCAGGAGGTATTCAATGTCAAGTTTCCCATGGAGGCATTGCGATATAACACTAAATTAAATAACTGATGTGTTTTGATTTTTCAAATCTGAAACTTTGATTTGCAGCCAGAATGCAGTTTTTAATTCCAGAACAGTCTGTTCTTGGTTCTTTTGCAAAGAACAACCCCACCCACATAAACCTGATGCATAGATCAGTGGAAAAGACAGATGGGGTAATCCTTTCTGCCTTGCAACTTTCACTATAGTTTATAGTTTAAAGTAGTTAATCAAATGTCATTATAAAACTTTTAGTATTTGCTGTATATCATGGAACTACATGGACACAGGCAGACTTGGGGCTCAGGCTGCTGCTGCTGCTGCTACATCAGTGGAGGGAACAAGGGAGCTCCCCTCTGCATCTTATTGATGCTGCTGCATTTCCGTTGGAAATGCATTGACCTACATACATAAAAACACCACCAAGACGTAACCAACGCCTCTACTTGCAGAAGCAGAAGCAGCAGTAGTGTGCCTCTGTGAGGCAGCTAAACCTAGGTGGACCACGGTCTGGTCATATTCTCAGTCCCATCAGTACCACAATCTGTGATTAAATGTAGAAATTTGATAAATTTGTATATTATTGTCTTCTTATGTGACAAAAATAAGCCAATCAGACTAATAGGACAGAGAGGAAAGAAAAAGAAGTAATTTCCATGGTGTGGTTCGAAATAAAAGCTAATGCCTAAAACAGGGCTGTCAAACCAGAATTGAATTAAAACTTTCTTTTAAACTGGCCTACAGTTAAACCTGTGGTAATGACGACTACCCCAAGGAAAAGCACAGATCCACTTAAATCAGCGGTGACGGCACAGAAAAGAACACATTTCTGACACAATAACGTTGATCCAAACCCATGATTCATGAATACATTTGGTTACTACTGAGGTTTTCAAAGTACGGGGCGTGTCCCTTATGAGGGGGCACAGTGCCATTACAAGGAGGGGACAAATGGAATAAAAGAATGAAATGTAACGCAGCATATTGTCTAATGATGTAAATGTGTAACAAGAGACCGGCACAAAAAAAGTATACAATGATAACACACTTATCACAATATAAATACATACAAAATAATAAAGGTATAAACAGTTATCATAATAATACCAAGAAGAAAAAAGGTTATTCAATAAGTTATATATATCGAATAACTTATAAGTTAGTGGTTAGCACGCCTGCCTCGAAAGCAAAGAGCAGAGAGTCCTTGGTTCAATTCCCAGAGGAACCACAGGCTTGGCGCCTGCTGGGGGCAGCCTGTTAACAGTGTATCTGCTGTTAACACAAGAATTTCCCAAATATGGGATCAATATAGTTCAAATTATTATTATTATACTTATTATACTTTCTCACAATTTAGTGCACAAAATAATATCCTACATATGGACCCAAACTTTTGGCAAACAGGATCTAATAATTAACTTATATTCATAACTATGTCCAAGAACATTGAAGGTCCATTTTATCTCAATGCAGTAAACATAAGTAAACATAAACAGTAAAACTCTGGTAGGACTTCTGTTACGATGACTATGTTGTGGACTGGGCTGAATCTACCTGCAGGGACCACTTGAGTCACTGCTGCTCTGGGCTCAGGGTTGGGGGCCCCTTGTGGTTTTGGGGACTCCTGGACTCTGGCCTCTTTTTTTTTCGATAATGGCATGGGTGATGGCAAGTAGTGTTTAGGGAAACCTTTGAAGAACCAAGCACCGGACCTTTTCCAAACCTATAAAACAGAACAAAAACTGTCCTACTAATACTGATCAACCACAGAACCTGCCCATAAAATCCAGACATGTCGAATACAGTGTAGGTTGTTACAGAGGTCTCACATTTTCCTATTATTGTATTGTGAACTTCAATATGAACCTCTCCATGAGACATTACTTATCTGGACTTTAGTTTGGTTATAATTGAAAACTGTGTCTCATCAGTAAGAGGCGAAGCTCTTACCTCCCTCTGTTCTCGGCAGATCTTACAGAGCCACACAGCATGTGGCCGACTGCCACACTGTGTTCCGCACTTACTGCACATGCTCTGCACGACAGGAGAAGGAAAAGGGTTTTTTTTTTTTTTTTTTTTAAAGCTACATAAATACATGAGAGTTGTTTTGGAATAGGAAATTAATCAGAGATGTATACCTTTTTGCAGTCCTCACACACTACAGCACTAACTCCATGTAAGTTGAGCTGCTCCCCACAAAGCAGACAGCGGGACACTCCATCTCCACACGCTGTCTTCTTCATGTCGTCCAGATGGTTTATTAAACGCCTGTAGCAGAATCAGCAGCACATGGTGGAAGAGTTACTCCAAAATAATCACTTGTGTTTTTCTCATGTCTAAATGACATCAGGTGGGTGAAGAAATTGATCCTTGTACCCGATTCTCTCCTGTTCCATGGCCTCCATCTTCTCTGCCCGGACGATCACATTGTTTATTATCTCCTTCTCTTCATCTGTCAGTTCAGGACCAGAGCCAGGACCGGACTGTGAGGTCCAGGTACTCCTATCAAGCAACATATTTCCATTAAAAAATATACATCAATGTCATTGTTCTTGTATTTGATGTTGATGAAAAATGAAGATTTTGCTAATACTCGGTCAACTCTTTAGGACATTTTCATTTAGTTGACCAAAGACAGCATCAAAAAATAGCCTAAAGTTAGCAGCCATAGGAAAGAAATAAAATATATAAGATCATCCATCCATCCATTTTCATCCACTTATCCATTACCAGGTCGTGGGGGCAGCAGTCTCCATGACCACCACCCAAATCACACTGCACCGTAACAAAACCCCTGAACCTTCCTGCAGGTGGTGAGTCCACTGCCAACCGCCCTGACTGGGATTTGAACTTGCCCAGGAAGTGAACCCTGGGGTTCCACACCAACGACAGAGACATTGCCTCTGGGCCAAAGTGCCACTATATAAGACCACTTCAGATATAATAATATATTTATATATCAATATATTTAATACAGCAGGTCCTCACCTAACGAGGGAGTTACATTTCCTCATCCTCGTCATTAAAAAAATAGGTCTTTCATCTGTCGATCGACAGGGATTTGTCATTTCTTCTTACTTTGTTTTTGTTGAAAATGATGTTTGAGATTGTCGCTGCCCGTGCATTCCCCTCGTCGTAACAAGATTCCTTGTCGCGAAACACATATTTTTAAATTTCAAGAAGTCTGTCGTAACGAGTTGGCGTAAACCGAATACTTCATTTTGTGAAGGCCAGCTGTATATATATTTTTTTAATAAATAGCAAACATTTTCTACAAGACATTTTCACAGTCCAGAGGCTGTAGAGTGAAAATGTCTAGTAGAGATGAAGGGTGTTGATGTACAGTGTCATTGCACAACAAAGAACAACACAAAACACACAAACCAGTCACATGGAAAACAGAGGGTTAAAAAACTTACTGTTTTTTTTCACTGGAGTTAAACATCACATGTTAGCGATTTGGATGGGGAACAGAAGAGGAAGACATGTTAGTGTTCATCTCACCCTTAACACATGGCTACAGACAGAACATTTTTCACCAGGGTGGAACTTCACACAAGTGAATATTTAAAAATTGTGCAAATCAATATTACAATGCACACACATGTTTTTCATTCCAACACTGGGGCACTGTGCCAGTGCCATTGCGGGGGGTGGAGGAGGAGGGTGGAATGAATGGATGAAACTTAACGCAGCATATTGTCCAATGCTGTAAATAGACTGGCAAAAAAAATGATTGGTTAAAGGCGGGGTAAAATTAATATCTTATAATAATATTGAAAAGGAGGCCGATATGGCAGAGCAGCAGTAGTAACATGGCACAGTGTGCCCCCCTGCTCCTCCCCACACACAAATTCTGACTCCTGCCAACTGACCAAAGCTGGCAACGCTAGCATAACACGGACAAGTTTAAGGTGCATAAAAACAGTTACATTTACAATGTGTGAAATAAACAAGTGAAAATGTGTGTCCTTTTTTTTTTGTTGTTTTTTTGGTGGAGGGCGCACCTTTTCTTATGAACCAAAAGGAGGCAGCAAAAAAAGTTTGGGAACCACTGTCCTAAGTTTGTTTGTGGTATATTTATATTTATAGTTATAGAATTACATGTATAATTTTTTTTTTTATGTAATTGGTCAGGATCTACCAGCACTCCCTTTGAGATCTATTGGTAGATCCCGATCTACTTATTGGGAACCCCAGAGTAAAGGCAAGCCCCATAATGGAGTGACAGTCACACTTACCCAGAAGGCATGTTTCTCTGCTTGTCATTGGACATCCAGCGGTCAGAGCTGCTGCTCATTACTGCGTCCGTCATTCTGTACAGAGGGAACAAAAACAATCTTTTATTCAGGATACAGTCTGTACAATCACAGCCCAATAATACCTGCACGGCAGAATTGACAGAAATGTTTCAGGATGTAAAAGCTGAAACACTGCACAACAAATACTGTAGTAACTGCCAGTGTGGACACGGCACAAGTCTGAGATGAGAATCAGACTGAGAACTCAATAGAGAAAAAGGACAGACAGGGTATCAGGGTGTACGAGACTGAGTTCAGCATGGGGATCAAAGTGAGCCAAGATCTGAGAATCAGACTAATTAGACCAAGAATCTAACAGACTATAAAGACTATGTAAGAACTGAAAATCAAAGTAAATATGAGGCTGAATGAGTATCCAACTATCTGACACATCATCAAACTGAGAAGCAGACTATGTACCCTGAGATTGAGTATTGGTTTTAGTATGAGACTCAGTACCAGACATGGTACCAGAGTCAGTACCACTCTTAGTACCAGACTCCGTACCTGACTCGGGACCAGAGTCAGTACCAGAGTCAGTACCAAATTCAGTATGAGATTCAGTACCACACTCAGAATCAGACTCAATACCAAACTCGGTACCAGAGTCAGTACTAGTCTCAGTACCAGACTTGGTACCAGAGTCAGTATCAGACTCAGTACCAAACTCAGTATGAGACTCAGTACCAGACATGGTATCAGAATCAGTACAACACAGGGTACTTGACTCAGTACCAGACCCAGTATGAGACTCAGTACCAGACTGTGTACCAGACTCCGTACCAGAGTCAACACCAGAGTCAGTACCAGACTGTGCTGGCAGAGACACACCAGGCCATTATCAGCATAATGTAATGTAATACAGCATCGTCCTGTCTGCAGTCAGAAAAAGACCAGCCTGTAAAAAGCCTCTCCCGAGCCTCAAACATGGAGAAGGTTGAAGAAGGCTGTCAAAAGTGCAGATGGTGTAACGAGAGAACTAACAGTGAAATCAATATCTTTCTTTCCTCGTCTCCAGCTTCTTACTGCAGTGAAGTCAAGCTCCAAAAACGCTCAGAAATGAAAACAGCCGGTAACAACAACAGCCTTTCAGGAGCTTTAAATTTCACGTTATTAAATCCACGTTTATTTAATTAGTCCAGATTGATTTTGCATTACTAGTGGGGAAAATTTGAGGCTGCCATTTAATTGACTGTTTCTAACACCCCCAATCTGTAAATGGATTAACACAGCTGTGGTTTCCTTCACGACACCAAGGATAAAAATGTCTAACTGACATTAATTCAACTTGGATTCAACAGTACTTTGCGATCTATAGGGAGTTTTATAGAAAAAAAACATCCTTTGACAAATCAGACGTTTAAAAATGTTTTAGCCAAAAAGGCAAAAATGTTATCAAATGTTGGTCAGTATGTTAGTACGTTAGTAACTAGAGAACACCTTGAAGCAGGCATGTCCAAACTGTTCCTCGAGATCTTTTGTGTCTGTGTGACTGTTGAAAAGCTATACAATTTAGCGGTTGTGAATTTAAATTTTAAGAGGAGGTATTACAGGTCTCTGATAAACCTTTGGAGGATTGTTGATGTTGTGAAGGTATTCGGTGCCTTAACCCAGATAAGCTCATGACTCCTTGTTAGCACTTGCTAGTTATTTGCATTGTTTCAGAGTAAGGGCTGTTTGACATCACCTTAGCTAAATTAGCTAAATTAGCTAAATTAGCAGTATATATATTAAAACACACACATTTTTGTTTTTTGTTATTAGCCTGTGAAAATAATTACATTAAAAATGACCTCAAAAGGCTGGAGATAGAGAGAGAAACAAATACCACTGATGTGTGGTTTTTTTTCAAATTTAATTCTAATTTTTTTACAATATCAAGTTGTGGTTGCTTCAGATTCAGGATTTATGCTAAACTAAGGTTTGTTTGCATATGAAAAAACTCAATATTACATTTGTGGAGAGAAGGGAAAACATGAGCAATTTCAGTAAATTTTTTAAATAAATATTAAGTTTGGCCCACAACTTCGTCCCAGTTTTTAATTTTGGCCTACTGTGAATTTTAAACCCCTGACCAACATGTAGCCTTGTGGTTTAATTGTGTTAATTTAGTAAACTGAGCACAGTCATATAGACTGTAAGAACAGAGGGCAATATATAATTATAGGCTGTTTTTGGGACATTACATCATGGGTGACCTGTGAACGTAGAGGAAGGAGCAATCAATGACTGGACTTGGAAACCAGTTATGTTCTGACTCCTAACCTAACCTAATGTGACTCACACATGTTGAGTGGCAAAAATTTCATCTCAACCTACAGTGCCTTTAACTATTCCTCATCTCATGCCATGAATATTAAAATATTTTGTTCCAAAATCCTTAAGCATTTGTACTTATGGGATGTATCCTGCAGTTTTTTGGAAGTAAACACTTCAAAATATTCCAGCTTGAACATTCAAACAAGTACTGAGTCATGTGTTGAAGGTTGTTTTGTTGAGTCACTTCATTGGTTACATGACATTTCGTGAAATAAAAAAAAAAGAAAGAGAGTTATGAGGGCCCACTTACTGACTGAATCATCACAGGGGAGGAAAAGATGTGCACAGTGATGATGTGTAAGTGTTAGTGTTAGTGCTGACGCAGATGAAAAGCCTTAATAACCCGAGCAGAGCAGAACAAACAGAGAAGTCACTGTGGTCTCATCGCTGCTCAACAGGCAGGATCAGGGGGTAATCAGAGGAAAGACTGTGGTGGAGGACGCATCACGCCAACTAACTGAAGTAATATTAGGCTGTTTGTATATGTAACAGTGGGTGAAGACGCTCTGAAAATCGAGGTGAAGGTGTGAGTTTTAATGTCAGGGGGAATGCTGTAAACCAACACAGTTTCTCCAAACACAGCAGGCACAGGTGTGTGTTAGTGTGTGTGACCACGTGGTAGAGCAGAGGGAATTTTACAGCATGTGGAGTTTTATATGAAGGTTCAGAAGTTTGATTTACAACATGCTTTTTTTAAAACATCCATCTTGAGCACAGGTCTGAGTGTTTCTGCCGTTTTCATCAGACTGTTGAGGCAGAAACAGAAAGAAGAGCCACAGCTCAGTGATGGACTGCTTTAATAGGGCACATTATTGACACAGTACACAGACAGAAGGTCTTCTATTTTTAGTTATTTACATTGATTCACCAGTTTGATGAATTAATGCAAGTTTCACTTTATTTATTTTTTCATGGATTAATCCCATAAAGCATTGTCTGGGCCACATTTAATACAAACAACTCTCATTGTTTTCTCGTTAAGTTGTAATGTATAATACATATAACAGTATGCTACAACACGTGTAACGCTTTTTGACCTATGAATACTCATGAATACTCTCATTTCTTTTTCCAATCCGTTGGATTATCTGTGGACTTTAAATGGGAGGTCTCAACAGTACACTGACATTTTAAATAAACTAACATAACAAAATATGTTATGAATAAACAGAAAGTGTAATAAACAATTCCAGGATAATTCCCTGATTAAAATGGACGTCAGTGTTTCCAGGTTAAACACTTCCTGTCCTGATATGCAACTGTTTTTATATTCCAACACAAAGTGTCATTTCATCTAAATTCCAGGACAATGATTCCCTAGATGCCTTCATAAGAAGGACACGCAGGAAACAAGGTTAATGAGAATAGAAGATCGATGACAAACTTTGATTTATTGTTGGTCAGACCTCCATCTCCTCTGCGATGCCTGGGGCCTTAATACATAATGTAAATTAATGAAACTCATCTGAATGTAGCTGTAGTCAGTCCTCAGTCCTTCACAGATTCCCCAAAGGCTTCATCCCAGCACGTTTCCAAAAAATAATTTTCTAAGGTTTTGATTGAAAAGTATTTTTAACATTAGTGCAGCACATTGTCCTCTTTACTTGGTGTTCAATAAAACTCTGAACACCCTCTCCTGCTGTGTGGAGTTAATCAGTGTCATCACACTCACCTGTGTCTCTGTCATCAGTCTCACTGGTGTCACCTGGTGTCCTGGGTATACAGTATATACACCTCTCTCCCCTTCACTCTGTCTTTATGGGATCATTGTTTTGAGCTGTGCCCTGTGGCTGTGTGTCCGTTGGTCCTGCCTGAAGTTCTGCTCTCAGTTCCTTGTTCCTGCAGCCCAGTGAGTTTTGTAACTTTGGAAATAAATCCTGTACACCTGAAGAGAGTCTCCCTAGTACTGGATCCTGGGTCCAGTACTGGGTCCTGCCTGCTTCCTGCTCAAACTATAGCAAAACCTGACAACAAGTGATGTAAATTAGGCATTTACAGTTTCATTTCAGAGCCATGTATGTTGCTGATCTCACTGCACCAGTCAATTTCTAACATGCCAGCAAACCAAGGCTAACTTTCCACAAGCATGTGTTTTTTGCGATCCTAATGGGTTGCAACTGCCAAGTTACCACTGAGGTGCTCTGAGCATGGCACCGTCCCCACACACTGCTCCCCTTAAAGCTGCCCACTGTTCACTTTGATGATAGGTTAAAAACAGAGGTCACATTTGGTTGTGTTCAGTGGTGGGGTTTTTTAAACTTTCATTCACACCCCGACACCTGGCAGTCTCCTAAAATCCTGTTAAACACTGGACATTATGTCAGAATCCTCATCAAGCTGAGTATTTTCTGATTCTTCCTTATCGGTGAAATACAGCAGTACATGCAGCAGTATGCTTATAAAAGTGGATAATAAAAACGACAACGTGAATGATGTGCATTTTTAGGAAATTTCAAGAAAATCAGTTTGCAGCTTTTTAGTTGGTGTAACTGAGACAGGAAATGGTCCTGCAGCTCTATGTCTGGTCCACACCTTTACTAAACGTAACAAAACAATAATTAGAGACAGTCTGGTCGGAGAGGAGCTGAGAATAATGGTTTTTATTTATGTCTATTTTGGGAGAGTCTGGATGTTGGTGGCCCTGTTGGTTGAGCAGCACTGACAAAAAGCTGTTTTGTCTCAGACTAGGAACCATCTGTGGAACCATCTGTGAGGACACTGTCAGAGTGATGGATTATTTCAAGTACACGGCATAGACAGGCATGAGTCCAGATTCAGGTTTCGTTGGTACATGAAAAAAAAGAGGGAAAACTTCTTGACATCCCTATTGAAAAAAACAGTAACAATATGCTGCGTTGGGCGAAAGTAATAGATACATTAAATTATCAACGCAAAATGCTACACTTTCAAGTTATGATCATTGTTGTTTCTGGCTTTTATGAACTTTATTCTTTATTATACTTTAACTAACTTTATTATTTCCCACACTGGGGAATGTCTGTCTGTGTTAACAGCAGATGTGCTACAACAGGCTGCCCCTTGGAGGCGCCAAGGTTGTGGTCCCTCTGGGAATCAAACCCAGGAATCTGTGCTCGCTGCTTGAAAGGCAGGTGTGCTAACTGTCAAACTATGGAACCATCAACCATGGGCCAACATGACAAATACTTGCCTGTAGACTTAATGTATTTGAGTTTGATTACACTGTACTGAGGGTGAGGGGTCTCTGGGACACAACATCCTGGTCTGAACCAACACATCCAGGGCTAGGTTGTGCTAGTTCCCAGATAGTCATCATCATCATCATTCGGAAAACTTTCCAAATTTAATTAGATTCCATCTGTGTTGTCTTTCTATCCACTCTGAACCCCTCTCCTTTTTCTAGAAACTCGTTTGGATCTTAGAAAATCTGCTTTTCTTTTTCTACCAACAGGCTGCTGATCTGCTGCAATTCTACTGCTGCTGTGTTTACAGGAGGCAGGGTTGTCACTGCAGTAATGCACAGAGTGATTTGGCACAGTTTTCACACCATTCTGATGAAACGCCACAAAGAAGCTGGATTTGAACCTTCTGCACAGCAGATGATAATCTGTAGTGTAAAAAAGAAGAATAATCCAGACTCATCAACACCATTTTAGAGTTCCACTCCTGGGTCACTGAGATATGTGTAATCACCAGCCCAAAACAGTACCAGAGGGATTAACTTACTGAAGTGGCTAATGATTAACAAATATTTATCAATACTTAAATGATTTTAGCAAGTGGTCCAAACCTTCAAATGTGGAAATTAAATACTTATGCACCATTTATTGACAGGTTATTGACAGTAATTTAAAAAGCACTCAGCCAATCAGATAAGTATGATTTGTGGAAGCTATGTACTATAACTCCTGCAGCTTTTTCCTATAGACTATTTCTATATTCCTAATAAGACCACCTGACCGTCTAAGGGTGGCTTGAGATTTGTGTTTAGGTATTCTAACTACTTGCTCTTTTAGAAAAAAAAAATCATTCTTGAAGCTTAATCACCAGTTTCCAACAGGCAGGAGTCAATTCTCATCACGGTGATAGATGAGAATTGACTCGTGCCTGTTGGAATGAAGACAACCTAAAACAACCTAAAGCCCAGTCACAATGTCAGAAGATTGTCTGTGCTGCTCAAACATAAGAATATTTACAAATATAAACCAGACAGAATGTGTTTGTGTGTGGATGAAAAGACACCGTATCACTGGATGTAATAAAAAACCATGGATAAATAAAGAAGGTAGAGTAGATTTGGACAAACGTATTTAGACACGCCAAGATATCGTTTTCTCAGGATTTGGCATTTAAACAAAAGAAGTGTTAAAATCAATTTTAAAAACTGAATCTGAAGCAGAAAGCATCAGGGTTTACAGAAAACAGTGTCCTCGTACTCCCTGCTTCTAAATAATGCAGTAACATTTGCGTATTCCATATTTTCATTGAAGAGGTCTTTTTTATGAAATGGCCAAACAATGTATTTTTCCCTTTTTTTTCTCTCTCTTTGATCGTGAAGGGGGAGAAGGCAGCAGCAAAACAAGGATGTCAACCAATAATCACTGTGGGTGTTCACTGGAGAGAAGGCAGCAGCATATACTGTATCTCACACCATTCATTCAGTCCCTGCTACCCTCCCCCATTTAATTATTTTCCTTCAGGTCTGAAGACGAGGAGGAGTATGAACAAGAGCAGCAGCAGGAGGAAGAGGAGGAGGAAGAGGAGATGGAGGAAAATTCCCACCGTCACATTGTTTTTGGATCACTGTCGAAAACACAACTGGCCCCAGTTCTGGTGATGTACCTGATGGGTCTTAGCTCCCATCAATTTTGTAACCAACACCACTAATTAACAACAATTAAAATGTTTAATCTAATTAATCACAAGGTAGATGTGGATTAACCGTTATAGTAATTAATTACAATTAACCGGGATTATTGACATTAATTACCATTCCTGAATATGACAAAAACGTTTTTTACGTATACTGCTGGATCAGAGAGACAAATAAAAAGGAGGTAGATTTATGTGTTTTTAACTAATTTTTTTTTCCAACTCACTATTTTTGACTAATCCATATGATAGAGTAATTCATATGAAAAATGTAAAGAAAAACATACAAACTATACAGCTGGAGACCTACTTACTGCCCTGCACTCGTTGAAAATTGAAAATAAAATTACAGGATATACTGTTTCATCATTCTGCATTACAATTAGTTTAATTAAATGATTGATAAATTATCTCAGGCAATGGCATTCATTTTGACAGCCATACTTTTTTCCCCTGCGTTATGTTGAATTACTAACCATTCAAATGTCATCCACCCTGACCAGTCATTGTTCCGACTCTGACCTCTACACTCCGGCCTTTTCTGTTTTGCTTTTTTCCTCCTAACAGGACATCCTCTAGTCTGCCTGGATGGTCTTTGACCGGCAGTAGTCTGATTTCCACACCTGTTTTGCAACTTCTGCTAAAACTTGATTAGTGCAGCACAAGTTTTATGCAGAACACTCTTGAGACGCATTATTTTTTCCTCGTGACAAGAACTATGAGTAGTTCATGGTCCGCCTCCATGGGTTGTCGGGTAGAAATTTGTGATTTCTTTAGCTGTAATGTACTAAGGGTAGAAAATGTCTGAGTGAAAAATTAAAAAAACAACAACAACAAAAAAAACGTCAAATTAACCCTTACCTTCTACAACTAACTTCTAGTATCTTCAGTGAAAGTGTGTGAGTCGTCCTGGAATTACATTCAACCTCAGTAAAAAGATGAAAGGTGAGACAGCAGAGTACTGCGCCATACCAAAGGGGGCAGACGTGAGTACGACAGAATGCTGCCTGCAAACAAATAACAAGAATTCAATTTTGTAATAATCCTTTTAAAATGTAAATCCATTAAATGCTCACCACTATCAATCATTTTTAAAAGTCGGTTTGCAAGGTAGATTTGGCGTCAGGGTAAATATGTATCTACTGTATGTATAGATATGTGTAATAAATAAAGGTGATTAGATACATGTACGTAGCCTTACTAGTATGTAATATTCATTTTGCTAAATGGTAGGTAAGTAATCTTTGGGGTTAATTTATTTGTAAATCAAACTCTGAAGGAGTCTGTGTCACACCTGCCGTGAACCTCACAGCATGTCATTTTACTAACAGATTTAAACCATTTGTTGAAATAATCTTGAAAAACTACCCAAACTGTTTTTAAGCGTTATGTTGTTGTTGTTGTTTTGTTTTGTTTTTTGGCATTAAGGGTCGTTTTTCTCTCAAAGAAATATAAATGGTTTCCAGGTTTAATAATCAGTCAAAAAGTGTTATTCCATTTTTTGAATGAATATAATAATATAATATGTTACATTTTACTCACTGTCATTTCCTTTTGCAATATTATGAATTATTTAGTCTAATATTATGTCATTTGCTGTGTCTGTCTGATGTGACAGTGCTGGTACATACATCATTCCTTTGAGTCTGCAGACACATCAAGGTCTGAAAAAAATCCTTCAGCAACGCCCAGGGATTGACTGCAACAACACAGTCTCCAACATGACTTACACCATGATTTCTTTTATCTGAACTGCAACAAATCATCAACAGCAGCAGCAGCAGTGGTGCAGCATTATTCCAAGCTGAAGTCACTATTGGGTTTCACTGAATCTCCAGGGATGGAGTAGGAGGATTAAAAAGTAGCATCATCATCAAAGAGTGAAATATGTTCCTCAGTCATTCATGAATAAGCTGAGCTCATACAACTACTGTAGTAAACCAGCAGAAACGGCTGCAAAACCCAGGGCTGAGTGGATGAGGGGCAATTCTGCTGCAGAGCAATCCACACACTCACACCCACTCACACACAAACATGGTTTATCCTATAACAAAAAGGGAATCAATTAAAAACTAATTTGCATAACTGCAGCCTGTGGAAGGTTAATATGCAGCACAGTAAGAGCAGCAGTGGCCACACAGTCACACCTCACTGTTCCAATGACTGGGTGTCAGAGAGAAGAGGCACAAACATGACACTC